TAGGTGATAGCGTTGGGGCTAATGCTAAAGTTAAAAGGCTAGGCTGAGGTTCTTCTTCCATGAAGCAGCTCTGTTGTCCTCCATCCATATTTTTAGTTCCAGGCTGAGTCATTTCTACCTTCTCCTCTCTGTCAACGCTCTCTGGTTTCATTTAAAAGAGTCAATCATCAGATATTGTCCAAGATTAACCTTCAGGGAGGATATAGCTCGCTAGCAGCCTAGCACCAAGGACCTATCCACGTCATCATTTACCCAGAATGCTTTGCATGTAAATAAAATGGCCCCATCCGTGTAATATATTTTTAAACTTTTAATTTAAAAATTATAAAAACTAAACAGCCTACAGTATTTTTACAGTCTTTATTTTACAGGTAAAACATATGTTTATCAAATAAAGTCTAATGTTACAACTAATCGGGGATCCCTTTAAAACTATGAGTCATCCATTAGTGTGTTGAAAATCAGAGAAATGACAGTTTGATACCCACAGTTCGTGACATCAGGTGGGGGGAAGTTTTCATTGATGAAAATGGCGCTGTGTTTGGCCACACGGAGGTACACAACATCAGGAGTGGACTTCAGCGCAGCTACTGCCTCCTCGTGAGTTACCTCATCCAAACAGGAGCCGTTTACCTGGAAATAAAGACAAATAAAAGTAAGCTTAAGCTTAATTAAATACCATATTTTGTAGTTATTCCATCAGGATCATTAGCACTAATGTAGACTCTGTATAAAACAGTATTGTGGGACATATCGGGTTTTAAAATGACAGAGTAAAGAAGATATTTCTTACAGCAACAAGTTTATCCCCGATTTGTAACCGTCCATCTTTGTGTGCCGCTCCCCCCTCGATGATTTTTGTCACATAGATGCTGTTGTCACCGGGAACGTGTTGGTTTCCAACTCCTCCTGCTATACTGAATCCTAAACCTGAGACAATAACGCAGCAGGACAGAGTTTTGATAAAACTTCAACAAGATAGTTACATTACATTAAATTACATTTTCCCACCCTTTTTATTGGTTGTAGAAGATAAATAACAGCTTTTTAAGCATAATGATTTTTTGTTTCCTTGGGACAAAAGTTTCCAGCGATGGAGTAAATTCTTTAGCCTTTTGTTAAATCTAAGTTTGTCAGTCAGCAAAGCAATTTTCATAGGTTTTAGAGGTTTTTATCCACAATTTTTGCCCCCCTGAAAGTGGAACTTTAGACTGTCAAAATGAGGCGCAACTGTTGCATTTGTAAAGTAACTTGCCCAATTTTGAAAATCTTAAAGTGTTGGATTTAGTTTTTTTTCTAACAAACTTTAAAAATTGCAATGAAAGTAGTTAACATTATTTCATTCATAAATGCTAATCCATAAACAAAGCCACAACGAACAGTATCTGTTGTTTTTGTAACAATCTTGCTTCAGTTTTCCTTCCTCTTGCTGTGTTGCCTCACCTTTGGGCCCTTTGACCAGTTTAATATCCATGACCCTCTCGGTGAGGCTGCGTCTGCGTCGTACACACAGCCGGACCAGTCCTCCTGCCTCCTTCAGCGCCTCCACAGCCCCGCTGTGAGTCACCTCCCTGACGTCGGTGTCGTTCACCCGAACTATACAGTCGTTCACCCTGCACAGTGAGATTACTTCCATTAAAGGAGACATTCATGCTTTAAATTCTTTTTCACATTCAAGTCATTTAGCTGGGGTCTATTTAAAGTGGAACTGCATTGCTTTGATCCTTATTGTAACTCCACAAGCCCCTCTTTTGCCCCTTTTCTGAGGTGTGTCTCAAACATAGACTTGAATAAGATCACTAGACTGAGCCCCGCCCGTCCACTGGTAGCATCTGTGACAGCATGGAGGAGCAGAAATGGCGTCAAAACAGGACAACAGCTCACAGCCTCCAGAAACTAATAAACAGCAGCTGAACCAGATCTGTTTCACAGATTATC